AGAGCTCGGTTGGCTACGCGCTGGAAGAGTCATCCATGGAGGCGCCGCTCGCCACTCGCTTTTAACGGATACTTTTCCTAGGGGTGGAGCGGGTTACCGATTTTTGTAGTTGTCGGGGTCGAGGTTGTTAGCATCTTTCTGACCCCCCACCCCCCGTTTGGAGGCATTTCGCTAAACGATTTGGGGGTTTGGCTCCTGCGCAGATGTTGGTGCACACTTATTCCGCGATGGTGAGTTAGATTTCGGGGGTTCATGGGGTGGGTGTGCCTGTGGGTGCCGGTTCGTGTCTGTAAGAAAGAAAGGGACTAGAAGCGAGGAAGGGAAGAGTGAAGTTTTCCTCTCCCGGTAGGGCTCATTCGAAAAGCAACTTAATTGAAGCGCCCTTATACCTCCAGATTAAGAGAGATTTCGTCTTTTAATATGTCCCAGATGTCGGAGCTCTGTAACATCCCTAGCTGATGGCTTAATACCCCCCCCCCCGAGGGCTGGGAAGGAGGAGAGCACAGAGACGGTTGAATCGATCACAAAACTGGGGGTGGGGGAGGAGGGATAGAGAAAAGGGGGCCGAAGGAACGAAAGAGACCCTTGCGGGGTAAATCGGATTGCTTTGCAACGAGTAGAGATTGGCCGAAAAGGCAGAGACCCCCTCCACCTTTCTTATTCGCAAAAGCTAGGCTGTGTCTGGGCATGGGGGAGGGGTCTCCCGTCTGCGGGTCTCGGTCGGCCTCCCCTACTGAAGGCAGAACAAGGAAGGGGGGAAAAGACTCCAGACGGGGTCCCCTACGGCCCCCGAAGCGCGCCGTTCCCCAAAGGAGCGCTTTCAAGGCCGGTAAGGCGAGACGACAACCGGCGCCTTGTTTTGTTCTGCTCGGTTGCGCCTTGGCTCTTCTTCAGCGGCAAAGTTTTGCCTGCTCCGGGCCCCGTCAGACGAGCGGGATCGGAGGCGAAGGGCTCGCCCTTAGGACGGCTTCGCCTCGCCAAGCCCCGAAGCCGCGCCGCCTCTTCGGCTTGCTTGCCCGGGGAGAAGGCGAGGACCAGGGCTCGGCTGGGCAGGGAAGGCTGCGCCTTGCCTTGGGGCTCAGGTGTTGCGAGCCGGGGCCT